ATAAATATCTAATAGACTGCTTTAACAAGACGATTTTTACTACAAAACCTCAAAAGCTTATTGAACGCTCGTAATACGTGTAATTACAAAGCCTTGTAATACTCAAGCCACAAATACTTACGCTTGACCAACAGTTGCTGAACAATAAGATAACCAATGTCGTATTCAAGCTACCAAGTATGTCATCAACAAAGCATTTTCTGGAGGATTTATCATAACTGTCTTCCAAGCAAACACATGGAAAATTAACAGAAATTGTTAGAGCACTTTGAATTGAAATAATATGATATATCACATATGGGGTGCCTATACTTTTCATTTCAGATGGATCGATCTATAAGATCGGATCAGTCTTTGTTACGTGATACCGATCTTCTGTCTTGTGTTTTAGTTGACGGAAACTATACAAATAGGATCGAATCGTATTTACACCGTGAATAAATTTTCTCACAAAACGGCAAAATGGGAGAGTGCACGCCATACATTTTTGTCGTACAATCTCTCAAAATTGTCTTTGAACTTATTTTTTCATCTCAGTTTATCGGACATTTTAATAAAGATGATTTACTTACCATTTATAAGTTTTAAACACATTTCTTTGCTCTCAGCTATAAGCTTGATTTTAACTCCGGAGGTCGCCATCTTAATCTTTTTATCCGATATAAACGATTCTACTTTCCGTTTGGATTAGTTTGATCGCGATTCAGTTGATCTCAGATGGCGTTTGTATATGCGGAAAGAGATTGATCAGATCGTTATAGTTTGTTTGTATACGCGTTTTGAACGATCAGAGTAATTCTTTAAATTGCGTACAGTAGAGGAATAAAGAATTTTTTAAATGTTAGATTGGTCATTCTGTGTGTTAAACTCTTACGTAAGACAACTTTTGTAAATATAAATCAAATACTATAATATAATGGGTTAGAAGTACGAAATAATCTAATAATCTAAATTTTTGCTGTTATTTTTTGCCCGATCAACGCCGGGCTCATCTGCTAGTAACTTATATAATATGAGCTTGCTATTAGTTATTTACATATTGTAACACATAACAACTCTCAACTTACCCAAGACGAATATATCTATGCTGTTTGTATATATAATGACCTTGCACGCTCCAGTGTCGTGCCCTAGGGTGCAAGAAACTGTTTTCTATGGATGATTACGCCTTATCAGGGGGTAGAACAGCTCTGACAGATACTTTCTCTGGAAGACTAAACATCATTTTTTAAATCTTTTGCATTCTTCATTGAAAGCCAAATTCTCTTTAAAATTTAAATATATAATGATATATTGTACATAACATCTTTCAGTCGTAAATCCTTAACTTAAGCTTGAACGTTGTAAGATCTAGATTACAGATAAAGGGACAGGATAACGTTTCTTCTTAATCATTTAAGTCGCACTTAAAGTTAGGCTAAGAAGCACTCGAGAAAATACACTTATCTCATTAAGTGAAACAATACTTAATGTATTTTTCGTGGGTGTGAAAGAGATCGTTTTAAAATTCAAGGAATGAGAGCAAAGGATAAAAATTGTCGCCACATAGGAAAAGTTCTTGGAATTAATACAGCCACATAACCAACTTAACGTTGCACAAAGAGAATTAGCCTAAATGACTCCACTCATCGGCTAACTTTACCAAATTGTGAATCAGCTCATTCGCGAATGATTCTTTTCGAATTGTATAATTAATATTCAACGAATGGCCTTACCGATCCACTTAACATAGACGTGAATGAGTTCATTGGCGATTTAAAATCTCTAGTTTATAAATTATTAATGTAAAAACTGAAGATTTTCATAATCATTTTGCAATTCTATTCGAAATTCTTACGTTAAATTGATTCTGATAGTAAAACACCTTATTTAAAACGTCCAGTCGAAGTCAGAATCAAGCAATAAATAAATGAACAGTTTTATAATAAATTTAATAAAACAAAGTTTTCATGTAAATTTTATCATTTAACTATTGAGCACATAAATTCAAGATATTTTCTTTTTGTCAGAATACACTTTACGTCACTCTGACGTTATTTATATAGTTTTGGTAATAGGAAAATGACGTCAAATTGACGTAATAGTTTACACTAACTACACTACTGTGATGAATTCACTTTTCATGTCTGATATCTCAAACATTTATTCTGGAAACATTTAAGAATTTATTTAATGACTAGCTTATTACACCCGGCTTTGTCCAGGTTTATAAAGTAGTTTACTCGGCACAGTAATTGTAACTAACATGAAGTAAACCCGGAAAACTCTACATGGTAATTCCATTAGCGATGCCCGAACCCACGACCAACTGTGGTTTTATCTAGTCGGTCACCGGTGGGCACTTATTAGAATTAAAAAAGTACCATTCGGAAATGAAAAAAATCCCGAGTTGTTAGATGTGGAAAATTAAATACTTATATAGCTTTCACAGTGTAACACCGTGAAAGCTATTTGACATTAACACTACCTACAGCAACTTTACCATGATAATAAATCAGGAAAGCGAGCACGTCACAGAAAAAGGCCTCCAGCTTTACTTTGTAGTCTACCTTTTAAAGTCATTTCTACCACAATAATTTGGCTGAACATTAGAGCATTTTTAAATATATATGTGTGTCTACTCAAAATACAACTGATATTTAATTCAATTTAGTTGGCTGTTTTGATCTTTGAACGTGTCTTCGGATGATTACGTGCATAATACACCACTTGTTTTGACAAACATCCTTAAAGATTATGCATACGAGCATAAACACCACACAGACATAGTTAGATAACTAGACACACGCCTTGTCGGTATATTTATAGTTTGTAAAACACATCAGGAACACTGCATTAAAAGGTAGATAATTTTGTTAGTAAATAAGTAACACCGGAAGTACTTGTTTACTAACAAAATACGCTACTTAGCACTTCAGCCATACCTGTTATTTGGTCATATATTAATATTATTTGGCAAGTTTTATTTTATCGAAAATATCATCATTGCCATTATAATAGATAGTATTACATTAATTACGAAAGCGGCTTATAAAACACATACTAACGGCAATAACGTTGAAGTTTTGGCTATGGAGATTAACAAATCATGTGACTTCTTACTCAACTGATAGTTATATAAAAAAATAGATTTTGTAAACATGTTTTACTGTCTGAGGCACGTTTACAGTGGCGCGTTATCCTGTGGGCAAAAGGGGAAATTGCGGAAAACCCTTCCAAAAGGGAGGTCATCTACGCCCTACGCACCCTCCTAAATCAGTCATTGGATAGATGGATTGGTCACATTGTCTTTATTAGTTCTCTTTAGTAGTCATAACGATCTGACATACAAAATAATGAAGGATTATATATGATAGGACCCCACTTGATTCAAAAATATTCTCAAAATGACCAAATATGATTTAAGGAAACGGTTAATTACGATAAATATTAGAAATTACTTTATATTTGCTAGAAAATAAATGCGGAAATGTTATAGTTAATATTTTATAACATAAAGATCTTATTTTTTTTTACATTTATCTTATGTTGAAGCTCAATAAATTTATCTTTGATATACGACTTATTTCAAAAGACCGACGTCTTAACGTCACAAGACACGCACACACGTGATGTAATACCTATATAAGCCATAGAACACGTCTATAATTCACATCCTGTTAAATTTACCTTTACAGCGCATTCCTAAATTGGTATATAATTAATTTTCTATAGTAAACCTGATTAAAATTGAAATTTTGCATAAATAAAGCTTAAAATTCTATATATTTTTTTCTAGAAAACTTCTTATATACGCTGGGAAATAATAATAGAAATATAAAGTCGATCCAATGGAGTCATTGCTCGCGTTATTTTATTATATTTTTTAAAATAACTTTTACGCAAACGGAATTCGATCAATGAACCAATTAAAGGGTTCAACAGAATTAAATTAATAATTGAGTTAATAGTCTAAATTTAAGTGCATTGAATATTGTGTATTTATATTTATTATCAATTATACTAATCAGTTAAGATAATTTAATGTATTTTGTTTATTATCAAATATTATTCAATTATAAATTATTACATGTAGTTTTTGCATTATAAAAAGATGAGGAAGATGCTCATCATCTCTCTTCTTCCAGAATGATCCGTCTTCAATCCTTTCATCCGATAAATTGCTTTTAGGATGAAGATAGATATTGAGAAAAATATGCAAAATATAAAAAAAATCATAAAATTTTGTGCATAAAATTCTTAAATTTAAAAAACAAAATGCACTTATACTTCTCTTTTCTTTATTGCATTCTATGTTAATTTGTCATTTTAATTAAATAAATTAAATGTTGGTATTTGTGCCAAGTTTAATTCACATTAATAAAACATTTAATCATATAATTTTATTAATTTAAGTAAAACAAAAATAAATTCTTTTGAAATTTTTACATTCGTTACATATTTTTACGATAGATGGCGTAACATATTAGTAACTTTCATTATAAGAAATTTTATCATAATTTTAAAATTTTAATTAATTAACTATATTTATAAATATATATATAT